GATGCGACATTTATCTCAATTCCAAACGAATGACTTTACCTTAGCCTTTTCAAGACTCACATACGTGAGTTGAATTCTGACGCCTTGTTCCTCTTTCACTTCTTTTTTTGTTTCCAGGTAAATTTATTCGCGAAACCAAAAACTCAAGTGGAAATTTTCAATATGCTAGTCAATTTGATCGAACAGGAAGAACAATCCAAACAGGCTGTGCGGAAATCTGAGGCCGAGGTTCGTGCTATACTACTCGAACGTACCACGGAAGATTTGAAAGTGAATCTGGAAATAGATCTGTTTGACACATTGCGTAATCACGAGGCTCACGAGCTCCGATTGAATTTGGAAAAAGCAGCCGAAGAAGAACGGACACGTTGTAAAGAAATGGATTTGGATTATTTGGCACCATTTCTGGCCCAAATCGAAATTATGGGTGGACACCTGTCACGTGAACAGGCATTTGCACTTCGTGAGGAATGTCTGCAAGATTTCAAACAACGCCTGATCAACAAAGCCAATATTATTCAGGCACGTTTTGAACGGGAAACGGAGAAATTGCAGAAGAAACAACAATGGTATCAACTGAACCAGATCAGTTTGTCCAAAGAGGACGAGCAAGAATATCTGCAATATTGCAACGATGCGGCTTTCCGAATTACCACACTTGAAAGTATGCTAGCCAAGCATAAACAGACTGCACCGCAAAAGTATATGGCACTGGAAAAACGATTGCGTTCCGATCCTCGGTTGAGCGAGTTTTTACAAACTGGTTGAGCTGGCCTGGCGGAGAGTAACATTACCGAACGTTATCGTCTGAGATCTGTTCGCGAAATCTGTCTGAAGAATTTGATAATCGTAATCAAATCCAAAAGTCATTCTATGCATAAATTTCAACATCATCTACCGTGCCTCCCAACGGGTAATCAAACTAGGACTTTCTCGGATTCGAATCCAAGGAGAAATATGCCTAAATAAGAAATATACTGATAAATTTACTGTTTTCATTTTCCTTTTTGTTGGGTTGAAATGAGAAATCGGTCAGTTGGAATAGGAGCGTGTTGGTCGATATCACGTGATCGGTCAATCCACCGAATGAGCTAATCAGAGGTTGGTTGCATATGCGATCATTTGTTGAACACAAATCGATCGATGTCTTGTTCTGTTGACCTATTGATTAGGCCTTAGTGTCTACCCGAATGCAAATTCTCACTTTTTGCTTTTGCCACGGTGAACCTTGATACCAATATTTGTTTGAGGCACAGTTGACAAGATCGGTCTAATTCAATGGGAGCATAATGCTGGGAAATGATAATACGAATGAGATTTCCGTGATTCTTCGCAAAAGAAAACGTCCAAGTAGAGTAAGTTTGCCTGTACATCACTAACTTGAATTGCCCCTCAAATAGTATAAGATGTATTGAATGCAATTTGCTCATATTTTAGTTGAAATGTTTCCTGTTTTGAGTCAGTGTGTGGTAACTTTTGGAACGGATTTTCCAAATAAACGTTGTCACATAAGCCAAAAGTAAGAGTAATGTAGAACCAAACGGGTTACAACAATGAGACTTTATGCGATATGAAAGCGGAACACGACGTGGTAATTGGTGATGTATTCGAAATTGACGAAATAGGTTCAAGTGTCTGTCTTACTAAAGCAAACACAACGGATGCAACCAAAATTGACCATAATCACGAATAAGCTTTCTGTTAGTCTCTCTTAATTTAAATAGTTTGTTCATCATGGGGCCGAAAAAACGAAAAAAGCTTGGCGTATGGAATTTCCATGTCTTGTCCAATACCTCACCTATAGTAGACATCTACTGAGTAAATTAATTATAAAAGACATGTAATTACCACTAGAAGGAAACAAGATATAGTTGTCGTACCGAACAGTGAAAAAACTGTTTGTCCAATCAAACAACAAATGTGTGACACCTTTTGGTTCAGCAACAGTATTCCGGTTTAGAAAATCCGTTTTTTTGACTAAGTATTCATAGTTGAACAGTGAATCGGGCTGGAACTAGACTGATCCACAAAGGTACTTGTGCCCGGGGGTGTTTGAATAAACTCAGATTGTGTACAGGTTCTAATCTGAAGAGATTGGAGGTTGAAAGCAGGGTTTCCGCTGAACGTTTCGAACTGACTTTAACTAATCCTCTCCTAATGTTAAACTAAACAGAATTGATTACCGTAAAAAGGGTTAAATCCCATCATGTGACAATATAATGTAAGCGACATGGCAAAAGGAACATTCAAAAGCTTGAAGATAAAATTTTTGTAAGATAGAGACAAGATCAATGGGGAGGGTATACTTTACAGTTGTGTTGTTCTTGGGTATAGTCACTTTAACCGGATGTCTAGAAGTTTGTATACGGGTCCTACGAGGAAGAACATGTGAGAGAAGGACAGAGGAAGAAAGTTCGGTAGAACAAAAATCAAAATCAGTTTCAGTTTCAGTTTTTACAACCATTAACCATGCACTTTCGTGTGCCGGTTTTGGTTGCGGTCATTCGGTTGCCCATTTGAATAAAACAGCGAAATGAAGATTGGAATGTCGAAGCAAATTCAAGCAGAAGGAGGGGAATTCATATAGAGTGGTGTTAGGAGAATAACGAGTGGATGCAAATGCGCCACTGTTTGCGACACTCAGTCATATCACTCAGTGTAGCTAACCATCGGTGACTATCATCCCGAGGTCCCCAGCCAGGGAACCTAACGGGGCCTGTGACCTAGTCTCCTGGTTAGGGTTTTCATACCCTCATGCCACCAACCTTTATCTTTTTCCAATCGCTACCAGCCTTGGCAAACATCTTCCGCCGCGGCAACCTAACTGGCGACATACGTAACACATGTCCCAACCAGCATAATCTACGGAGGTCGATCACTTGCTCTAGTGAACGACCGCGAGATGGATGTTCCAAGTACTGCATAATCTGACTGCAAAAGATTGACGCCGGCATTCAAACCAACACTTTGGAGGGTGTATATTGTTCGACAAGGTGAACAGTAACCGACATGGATGGTTTGGCTTCTGCAGTATTTCATATGCTAAAATCAAGTCTCCACGAATTCGGTGGTACTGACTAGACTACAGCTACATTCTCTCCTCATAAGTAAGGCGGTTCAGCCCCTTGACAATCTTGGTAGCAAACCTAGGTGGATGCCCCAGCATCTCAAGATCACGATATAATGTTATACTCCATGCTTGGATGGAGTACCCTATGCATGGTCCGATGTACACCGATAGCAAACTTCGGAATAGTGCTGATTCAATTCTACCCAAGATTCGCCTAAGCAAGCTGACATTCTTCACAGCAGCGGGCGAAGCCCTTCCACAAATGATCGCGCAGCTTAAGTCCTCTTGAACAATTCTACCTGTCATTCTCACTTGAGGTATGTGGCAGCTGGTGATTTCCGAGGAAATACCAGAATCTACTCCTGTGGCATGGGGATATGACTTTGCATTCAATAACATTGATTTCAATGTTTTTCTCAGTAGGCAATCGATAAACTGCGTTAGGTGTTTCTTGAAGTGATAGTGGGCCACCTAATTCCATCACTGTATTTCAGGTTTAGGGGCCATCTGCAAACAGTTTTTTGGCCCTAGCACATTCGGTAGATCAGTTATGTATGCTAGATGAATGGTGGAACAGGAGGTCCATATGATGAAAAACACGAGAGACAAGTGGATAAGTATACGGTGACGATGAAAGGAAAGAAAATAGGGATGGACTCGATAGATTGCATGAATCTGTGAGACGGACAGCGTACGATTATTCGCATTTAACTCTCAATTACTTGTG